GAGATGGCCCCTGCGCGGGAGATCTGAACCTTAAATTTTCCAGGCTATAAAGACCATGCCAGCTTCCGAATCCCCCAAGTCCCCTCACAAATCTTTTGCCCTCCTCTGTCACGCCGTGACTGTCACGCGCCTATTATGAACAATGCGTTGGATTCTGGTCACGCCGCTGCTGTTGCCCCCAACGGTGTCGCCGTCCATCACAACCATCAAACACCCGAGCTCGTCGTCAATGACGATGCCAAGCATCTGAACGGCGACCCCGCCGCACTCCGCGCCCCTTCCCCAGCCGCAGAGTCCCCCGCAACGCCTATCTCCAACATGGTTGCGCCCGATGTCAAGATAGACATTGACTACCAGGAACAGGAGAGCGACGTCCGCCATGAGCCACTGCCTGTCAAAGAGCTTGCCTCCTCAATTATTCCCCAGCTCGGCACCCCACCAGATCCATGTATGTTGCTATTGTTTCGCTATTAGTTCTTCTCTGTGCTACGCTCAATTTGTAACAGCAACTCTCTCGATTCATCCCCCCCATGGAACCCCGCCGCCGCCCGTGGGAGAGCTATTGGAGGACGTCAGAATGGCGGAAGACCCCGCTCAACCAACTATCAATGGCTTTCACAACGCGTCTGATGATGTCGTGATGCAGGATGCTGAGACACCAGCCACAACCCCCGGCCTTCTTCATGCCGAGTCCTCAATGGCCGACATACAGCACAACGGCGCGTCGCCGCCATACTCTACTCCCGCTGGACCCTCGATGCACGACGATGACGACGATAAACCTCCGCCAGCAAAGAGACCGCGCATGGAGACCCAGCATGATGAGCTGGTACCACATGTAAGCCCGACCTCCTTTGTACGCCAGTACGGGCGTTCTAATCCGTCTTTTTTCGCGCCGTTCTTCTAAAGTCCGCCACTCCACCTCCAGAGTCTGCCTTCATGTCGACTGCCAGCACCCCAGCCCCTCCACCTTCATCTTCTGTATCGATTATCACTCCCGCCCAGTTCAAGTTCTGCCAGTCCACTATTCGTTCACTGAAGAAACTGAAAGACGCCGGACCGTTCCTACGACCCGTCGACTATGTCGCGCTCAATATCCCTCACTATCCCACCATCATCAAAACCCCCATGGACTTTTCGACCATCGAGCGCAAATTGGTCGCGTCGAATCCCAGCAAGCCCGATCCCCACCCCAGCAATCCACGTTACTATATCACCGACGAGTTTGTTAACGACGTCCGCCTGATCATCCAGAATACGATAGCCTTCAATGGGCCTGACCACGCCGTGTCGCAGATGGGAAAGCGGGTTGAGGCGGTCTTTGACAAGCAGATTAAGCATATGCCGGCGTTGGTTGAGGTTCGTGCCCCTTTCAGCCCTCTTCTATTAGCTCACTGTATCTACTCTGCAGTCTAAACCAGTCATCGTAAAAAAAGTAGCAACCCCTCCGCCACCGCCACCACCCGTCGCACCGCCGAAGAAGCCAGTTGTCGCCGCTCGCCGTCCGTTAACCTCTGTCCCCGTCATCCGTCGCTCGGATAATGAGGCCGTCGGTCGTCCAAAGCGCGAGATACATCCACCTCCGCCAAAGGACCTGGCCTACGCTGATCCGCCCAAGAAGCAGCGCAAGATGAAGAGAGGGAAAGACGACGGGTCTTCGGAACAGCTTCGGTTCTGCAGCAAGTTGCTGACTGACTTGCACAAGAAACAGTACATCACTTTCGCGAGTCCCTTTTATGAGCCAGTCGGTAAGCCTTGCCATTGTCATCGATATTTTTAGGCTCATCCCCCTCACCATAGACTGGGTAAAGCTCGACATTCCCACCTACCCCAGGTTGGTGAAGAAGCCGATGGACCTGTCGACCATCCGCAAGAAGCTCGATGCCAACGTCTACACCTCTGCCCATAAATTCTTCGACGACTTCAAGCTCATGATCAGGAATTGCTTCATCTTCAATCCCGCTGGAACGCCTGTTAATCAAGCTGGAATTGAGCTCCAACGCGTCTTCGATGAAAAGTGGAAGCAGTTACCGCCTCTTCGGGAAGTCAGCGAGGACGATGATGAAGAGGACGAGGAGGAGGACAGCGATTCGGAACGCCTACGTGAGTGACCGTGTAGATTATAACATTTACCCTGACGGAGGCGTGTGTGTGCTGATGACAGGCGTGACAGGTGCGATCGCCGTGATGGAAAGTCAGATTGAGGCTATGAGAGGAAACCTTGCTGCGCTGAAGAACAACAAGCTTCCTAAGGAGAAGAAGAAGAAGGAGAAGAAGGAAAAGCCACCTGTCGCGTCGTCGTCGAAGGCCGCCGCTACCAGCAGCAAGCCCGTCAAATCTTCCTCAGCGTCGCAGAAGAAGACCAAAAAGCCCGTTACTGATAACGATGTGCTGACGTTCGAGCAGAAGAAGGACTTGAGCGAGTCCATCGCGGCGCTGGACGAGGCAAAGTTGGAGAAGGTCATTCAGATTATTCATGAGGGTGTGCCGGAAATTCGAGACGTACGTACCCTTTCCTTTCGTTCTCGATCAGAGCCTTACATCGCTCTCCTTCAGAGTGAGGTAGAGATAGAGCTAGAGATCGATCTGCTGCCTGCGGCGGTGCTCACGAAGCTCTACAACTTCGTGCTGCGTCCTCTGCGTGCCCCACCGACAAAACGTAATCGACCAGGCAAAGGCACAGGGACAGGCGGCCTCAAGCGGAAGAGCATGGACGAAGACGTGGAGGCCGAGAAGATCAGAATACTGGAGGAACGGATGCAGCTCTTTGAACGCAAAGAGAACGGTGGTGACGCACTACCCCCTATCCGCGATGTGGACAGTGACCGCTCCTCCGACTCCAGCGACTCGGATAGCTCAGGCAGTGATTCAGAGTAAATTCCTTTCTAATATTCCACTTCGTTACCCTATAAGCTCATTGGACTTTTTGCTCTCTTTCCTCCCTCACCCTTACTATATTTTTACGTTTTTGCTCATCCATATTGCGATGCCCCCCTCGTTCTTGGCGACCTTACCGACCTTATATACTTTCTATTACTTAGCAGTAACTCAACAACTGCCGACAAACGTAGTATAACCGATCACCCATTGTAGCTTTTTAGATAACCTGAAACATTATTACCTCCATTTTTCGCATGTAGTTGACAGCGAGGAAAGCAAAGGGAAGGACTGGACCCTATGTTACTGTAGCAAGTACTACCTCCGCTTCGCACCTGACTTCTGGAATTGCTGCCATCCCGAGCGCACCGGGATGCTGGGTGGCGGATTTTCGGGCGGCGGAGGTACGGTTGATGGTGCTCGACCCCGTCCAGAGGATGCACCGCTCCATCCACCCTGTGGTGGCCCGGGTGCTTGTAGGCCTGGGCCTGCCCCGAGGGGCTGCGGTGGTGGAGGGTTTGATGAGTATCTAGCCCAATCTCCTTGGACTGGTTGTGGGGGCGGCGGCGGAGGATTCGAGGACCAGGAGTTCTGTGACCATCCGCTTCCAGGTGGAAGTGGGGATACACTTGCTGACGGCTGTGGTGGAGGTAGATTCGAGGAACTGCTAGGGATAGATGACCACCTGCCTGGAGCTGGTGGAGGTGGAGGTGCGTTATCAGGCGGTGGAGGCGGAGGTTCGTTGACGGGTGGAGGTGGTGGTGCATTGACAGGCGGTGGCGGCGGAGGGGCATTGCCTGGCGACGCTGGTGACACTACCTGGGAGCTTCCGGTGTCCAGAGATGTCCATCCAGCAGCCCTGAAAGCCGGAGCTGACGTATGCTTGGTCGGTGGAGGAGTTGCGCATAACGGCGCAGCAGGTACTGAGTGTGACGACGTCGAAGCCTCGCGCGGTGCAGAATTCGAACCTACAGACGCCCAGCCTCCTGTGGCTGGTGCTCGGCCTCCTGTTCCAGATACCGTAGCCCAGCCACCTTTGTTTGCAGTGGGGGCTGGGGAATCAACGTCCATGGCAGACGCTGTATCAGCAACGGTAGCTGCTGGTTTAGCCATCTTGATTCCATTGGCGGCGGCTATCTTCCGCAGCGCTTTCTCTTCACGCTTCCGCTCCTTCTCCTTCCGCTTGTCGATCTCGTCTTTGTCCTTTAACCTCACATTAGCCTGCATGTCTTTAAAACGTGCCTTGTGGTGGTGCGCGTATGAGTTGGTGTGCTCGTCGTATTGAGCGACATTCTTGAATTGCTTATCGCATAAGGAACAATAGAAAGCCTTGAGTGTTGATGATATCTCGGTTTCCAGGGCAGATTTGCGCGCTACGAGTTCCTGTGTATGCCATGAGTTGAGGCGCCTCCAAGTGATAGAATGGTTAGACCTCTCGGGCGCGGCGTTGATCTTCAGTCTCTTTCAGCAAGCGCTCGGAGTCCAGGCCACGGCGTTGCGAGACAGTTGTTTCGATCATTCTGACATCCTGGCTAGTTTTACCGAGTCCAGTCGAATCTCTCTTGATTTGGAACGGGATTGGATCGACGCGACCTGCCACGCATTGAGAGGAACATTCGGCATGGAAACAATTGAACGACTCACCATCACCAGATATTCCTAGAGGTTGACCTTCGGTCCAGCCTAGCTTCGCGAGCATGGCAAAGCCTTTATTTGTTGGCTTGATCCTCGTTTCGACGGTGATAACCTCTCGAGGCGCCCCTCGGACGTACTCGTCGTACTTGTAGACGTCACCATCAACGTCCATCGGGGGCGGTGAGGGGGTACGTGAGACGATAGAGATGTCATCGTCGTCGTCGTCGTCATCCTCGTCTGGTCTGGGATGCTGGTGGATGGGAAATGGAGAGACAGGGCAGTATAGATCGCAAGGGAGGGACGAGATAGGGCTAGAGTACCTTTAAACCCGAACTGGGCTCCTGCGGACGAGAAAGGGGTATCGCATTCCACCTAGAAATTGTACTCTGCGACATGGTGGAAGTTGGTAATAGAGAGGGCTGTAAGTCAAGACTTTTGGACAGGCTCACATTAGCAGTGTAGAGATAGCACAGATTAGATGTGCATAAGCCTCTTTGGCTCAGTTGGTTAGAGCGCTGGTCTCATAGCAATATGACGCTGCAGTCATAGCGGTAATCCAGAGGTCAACAGTTCGAACCTGTTAAGGGGCATACCTTTTTAATTTCATTTATGACTATCACGTGACGCATTTATTGTCGGAACCTTGGCCCGAGGTTCAGCATTCCACCAGCAACCAACTTGCTCGCCCGGCCTTTCGCCCCCCAGCCCGCTACACGACCCGCGGCAGCACCTTTACGCCCTGCGAGGCGCTCTATTGGTGCTAATTCCATACTCCAAGGCTTCCATGAACCCTCGCAAACGCCCAGCAGCTGAACCTCTACTACCACTGCATTCAGCAAAGCAGCGTCGGACCAGGATGGTGGGATACGACGGAGGAAATCCTAGCGCCACCGAAGAAATTGGTCTCCTGTCGCGTTGGAGGAACTTTGGGAAGGAGTTCGGTTCTCTGGCGACAGAGACGGTCAAAGCAATCGTATACGGCATTCGACGTGAGTTCTGTGTCTATTTACCCACAACTTATCTTTTAACGATCCTGAGTAAGAGGATACCCCCGCTCATTCTATGCCCCCTTCATTGAAAGATGGCCAAGATCGATTTTTGCCAGCCCTTCGTCCACCACAGGCCGAAGGCTATAGATCTACAGCACCAGACGCTGTCAGCGACCCCAGTCGAAAAGCCATCACCACAAAAGTACCAAGAGACCTCGATGTGCCGTCAAGGGCCCCTTATCCTCCCTCAACGCCTCCGAACAACCCCGTCGAAAAATCCCTAAATGGCGGCAGCGTCGCAGCATCCCTATCGCGCCCAGACACCGCTGGAACATCCTCCAGTCAACTTTGGAGCACAGGCACACAAAACGGAGCTTCGCATCTAGAAACTCCTCCCCCACCTCCTCCACGACGGAAACAAGAGGACGGAGTGATCCCACGCCGGTACCGGAACCGCGAGCATATCTACGCCAAAGCGGTCAGTTTTACCCTCCGTATCGTTCACAACAACCACTGAATGACTATCTCCAGCACAAAGCAAATGTACAAGCAGAAATCAAGAAGAGCAGGGAGGAGATGCAGATGGAGATATTCAAAATCAAACGGCGTAGTGGTCCGTGTTCTTTCTCTTCCTCCGCGCTTTGCAAGCTTAACACCGTCTTAGGATACACCTCGAATTTCACCGATTTCCAAAGTAAGAATATATTTGCTTCCTCTATGACTGTTTTAACCCTTTCTCGCAGGCCTTCTGAAGTTCCAGGCAAAGTTAGAGAAGCTGGACCAGCGTGATGCGTTCTCTCGTGCGTATTTCCTGCTGCTACCCCGCGCTATGTGCTCAAGATGCCTCTAGCGTCTTCCTCGATGGTAGACCTGCGCGCCATTGAGGCCGAATTTTCCCCTCGACGACACTCTTATTCTGACGTATGCTCTGTGCTACTGGTTTATGCGAGTTCGCCTGAACATTTTGCTCAGAATGACGACATGGCGTTCCTGCGCCGCGCTTTCGATCGTGCAAAGGCGACGCTTAATGAGTGCGTTAAAACAATGCCACTCCCAAAATACTTTTTCATGCTGCTTCCTTCCGCAGACCTCGACCACCGCGACCATTCCAACCCTCGCTGGAACAACTCCGACTGTCCCATCGCCTGAAGGATGAAGGGATAGAGCAGCTGCTGCGACCAAAGCTCGTTCCTCCAGCACCCTTGTCTCCTAAAGACGACGCACAGGTCGATGTGATCCTCAAGAAGCGTGGTGTGGTTTCCAAATACGCCCGAGAACAAGTCAGCGACGGAGACCTGAGCCGTCTATATCCCGGCCAGTGGCTGAACGACGAGGTCATCAACTTCTATGGCGCCTTGATATTGGGACGGTCGGACGATTGCAAGGAGAACCCTCCGAAGAATGGAATGGTTTTGTTGAACGTGCATTACTTCAGCACATTCTTTTGGGCGAAGCTCAAGGAGGGGTATGAGAAGGGGCGTCTGGCAAAATGGACGAAGAAGGTGCCTCTTGACCGCTTGACTTAGAAGCGCCATTATATTGACATTTTTACAGTTTGATATATTCTCCAAGGATATCGTCCTCATTCCTGTCAACCACAGTAATGCCCATTGGACGAGTGCAGCGATAAATTTCCGTCGGAAGCGTATCGAGTCATACGACAGTATGGGCACAAGAAGAGGTCATGTCTTCAAGGTATGCACTGATTCAATCATTTTGTTACGGTGATTGACACCAGAGTAGACTCTGCGGGCATACCTTGATGCCGAGCACCGGAATAAGAAGAAGAAACCGTTCGACTTTACTGGCTGGGAAGATCACTCGATAGAGGTGAGCCTGCCTACTTTTCCGCGTCTCGGTTTGGTTCTGAATCTGGTCACTAGGAACCCCAACAAGAGAACGGTTACGACTGTGGTGTCTTCACCTGCCAATTCCTCCAGGGCCTGTCGAGAGGCGACGACTACGTGAGCTTTTCGCAGAAAGACATGCCTCATCTCCGCCGGCGCATGATTTGGGAGATCGGTCATGTCAAGCTGCGCGAGGAACGATAGCAGCCTGGCGCTCCATATATTACCTGTTTATTGTGATGTAAATCTTATAATTGAATCTGTAGCAGCAGTAGGGTCGTAATTTTGGTTTCTTGTAGGTCGTCCGGAAGAAGGAAAGGGCACGTATTCCATAACATCACCGTCGAAACCACCATACAACGATGAAGAACCAGAAAACAATGATCAAGAAGACAATGTACCATAGCCAGCGGCAGCCTTGCCTATCCGCCATGTTGTTCATCCTTCGAAACGTTCCAGAGAGGATGCCAGAGGTCTCCGCAAACGCGTCGTTCTGATGAACAATAGTTGCACTGTTCAGCATATCCCGCATGAAACTCAAGCAGCAAACGCACCATCTGGCCAAGTTGTACCGTAGACTCTCGCACCTCTTTCCCAATCCCAATCGTAATCTATACAGAGAGGGAAACAATGGGGGATGAGCAAGTCGGCGGCGGTGTTTCATGTAACTAGTACTCACGTCTTTCAGCAGCTTGACCTTTGCGCTGAGGCCTTCCAAGGCCTCATCATTCTGACCCTCTAAATCGTCTGCATAGCGGTGTCCGTTTGCCTGGCTGTGTGAGGCGGATGAGTTGCTGAAGGGGGAGGACCGGCCAGAAGAAGGTGGTGTCACGCCAAGAAGGCTTGATCGGTCGCGGAGCGTTGGTGGTTGTCGTATCCTGCGAGAGCTGTGTGTTCAGAGAACGAGAAGGTCAAGCGAATAGGGCTGGTATGGTCACCGTTGAGACATGGGAGAACGCCGGCTAGGATGGCTTTAAATTTGCATCCGTGGCAAGATGAAGGAGGAGGATTAAGGGACACGTTTAAGGGTTCCGCATCATTGCAAATCAAGATAAATTCCTTGCAGCTTGTCGTGTCGCCTCTGGCATCCCGCGAACTATAGTGATACATCTAACTAATGAGCTACTAATGAACTAGACATGCATTTTAAGCGACAAGAAGTAGTGGACGGAGGGGTAAAAAGGGCGGTACGCCTGGCACCACAACGAAATAAGTATGAATGCGAATTTATGGTATAAAGTAAGGTATATGGCGATACGAGTGGTGTAGGACGTGCAAGCGCGGGTGCAGCAGGTGTGGGCAGGTGGTGTGCAGGTGGATGAGATCCAGAGGGGTGACTGGGCAGCTAGGGGAAGATGCGTAAACGTCCATTTCCGTTGTGTGGGCATGGCTCTTCCTGCGAATAAATGAATACAATATGGAGGGTCCGTGAGGTGTCGTCGTAGGAGAGCTCAATTGATGCTCATGCGGTTTAGATTCGTGCTCGCGGCTCGGCGATGTGCTTGAGACAAATACCGGCCATGAGTCGGGTTGCTCTTCCTCTCCACTAGAATCGTCACAGTTAATTACATCCCTAAAACGGAAACGATGCAACGTACATGCGTCCTTGAGGCCACGGCCAAAGTCCCTCAACACGATGAACGACATGACCATGGTCATAATGAGGAGGACGAAAGCGATTATGGCTAGGAATGGTCAATTCAATGCATTTACCGCAGCATCCACGAACTCACAGAAGACGGTAAGAGACTTCCACACGTATTTGAACTGCTCGCTTTCCTTGAATATCAAAACCTTGATGAGCTGCGGATTGGTCAACCGTCAGTTGTCAGCGCAGTGGCATTATTGGTTCACGAACCTTGTAGATGAAATACACCATGGCCCCGATACATCCAGACATAAAGGTCGCCATCATCCATTTGTTTTCGTGTCGCGCAGCAAGATGACCCTCTACCAACAGAACGATAGACAGTGGGAGGGCGGCACATGTCACGTAATATTCCCAGTCGTTCTTCTGCAGCACCAACCAGATAAACTGTACTGAGAATCCCACCCAGAAGAACACGTCGAACTTGACCAGGCATTCGTAAATCTGGTAGTTGGCGTACATCTTCTTGATCCTACGGTCGGCCCCAATGAACTTGTACACCTTCCAACCGAATTCGTTGTATATCTTCCAGCCGAGACCAATGTATGCGATTTCCGCAACGGATATCACCACAGGGATAATGGTGGTCAGGACATTGATGGGTATCGTCGAGACGCCCGCCGTTGCATCAGATAGGGCCTCTTGAATTTCTTTGATTTGGATGATGGCATAGACGAGGAAGAGGGCGTTGAACACCCTGGAACGAGCAAGTGTGAGAAAATTAGGCGGGAAGAGTGGGTCGGGAAACTGACGTTAAACACATGAACTGGAGGGTGTTCCGCGCGTACACAGCGTCCACCGCCATTACTAGCTGGAATACACTGGGCGTTGTTATGTGAGTTTTTCCCAGTATATGAGTAGTATAGTGACGTACTGGGCAAGAGCAAAAATGCTAAGGTACACAGGCATCTTCCGCGAGGTTATCTCGTTCTCCTTGCCCCCCTTGTTGGTTTCGGTCCGCAATCGTAGTAGAAGCTCCCCCTCAATAGCCAAGTCTACAGTCGTTTCGATGAGGACCGTCAGAACATAGAGTCGACACGCAAGGGATTCCGGTACGATCTATTAGGTCCAGTGAGCCGAGCCCTGCCTATGGATGGGAACGGAGC